ACACACACACACACCACACACACACACCACACACACACAACACACACCACCACACACACACACACCACACACACACACGCACACACACACACACACACACACACACACACACACACACACACACACCACACACACACACACACAACACACACACACACACACACACACACACACACACACACACACACACACACACACACACACACACACACACACACACACACACACACACACACACACACACACACACACACACACACACACACACACACACACACACACACACACACACACACACACACACCCACACACACACACACACACACACACACACACACACACACACACACACACACACACACACACACACACACACACACACACACACACACACACACACACACACACACACACACACAGAGACACCACACTCCCCGCATACCCGTTCGCGAGCTCACTGATCAGCAGTCGAAAGCATGCAGAGCGGCAACGAACGTTTTGACCACTCTGGCATGGGGGCGAGCGGTCCGTCGAGCATCAGATCGAACGAGACGAAAGAGCCCCGGCCAAAAGCCCCGAAACCACTGAGCCATCCCGAGAGAGAGCATCAGCAGTCACATCGCTCGAAAGAGCAATCGGTGCAACCTTCGCGGGACCGATCGCCCAAGTCTCGAACGAGTCTTCACGACTGACAAGACCACAAGCGACTCCCTCTGAAAACAAAGGGCGGGCTGGGTGGGACAAAAACAGATCCTTCCCGGACCTTCGAGGCGATCGCCTCGACCCAAAATGGCCACGGGAAGTTCACATCTGAAAAGAACTGGATGAAAAGAGCAGACTGCAGATCGCATGCAGGAATGTGACCCTCCTATCCCAGACCTACCTACCCGTTGATAGGAGAACCACACTCCCCGCATACCCGTTCGCGAGCTCACTGATCAGCAGTCGAAAGCATGAGGAGCGGCAACGAACGTTTTGACCACTCTGGCATGGGGGCGAGCGGTCCGTCGAGCATCAGATCGAACGAGACGAAAGAGCCCCGACCAAAAGCCCCGAAACCACTGAGCCATCCCGAGAGAGAGCATCAGCAGTCACATCGCTCGAAAGAGCAGTCGGTGCAACCTTCGCGGGACCGATCGCCCAAGTCTCGAACGAGTCTTCACGACTGACAAGACCACAAGCGACTCCCAGGCCCAGACCCTTTTATGCGAGAGCGGATGGCCATGAGCACAAAACTGTCTGCCAACCGGCCGCCTCGCCGATCGCGAGGCAATCACGAGACGGCCAATCAGCGGGATTAGCATCCGTGGATACACGGTCTATGAAGAAATTCACCCTGTACTTGAGCGAAAGCTCCCAAAAGATCTCGACTAACTCACAGAGATCCTCCTTTGAGGAGTATCCCTTGACCAGAGATGCTTCCACCGACTCAGAATCGATCAGAAGAAGAACATCACGATTCCGGAGGTGATCACGAAAGGTCTCCAGAGCTAGGATCGGCGCGATCATCTCGATCGGAACTATCTGGGTCTTGCGCGGCATCCATTTTTTAGAGATTTCTGCGTCGATGATCTCAGAGAACTGCTTCGGGGTATCCGCACGCCGATCGAACATCACTGCACCGACGCGATCGGGGCCGGCTTCTTTCTTCCGAGCGTCGGGCGTGAAGCCGTCCGTGAAGATCACTACGTCAGCTCTCTTCTGAGCTCGAAGAGAGATCTCCCGCGGCGGCCCAGAATTGATCAAGAACTTCCAGTAGATCAACGATCGTCTCAGAGCTTCGTTCAGCTCCATGCGATCCGAGCTGTGGTCCTTCGAGTAGTCTCTCCGAAAGGGGACGGAAGAAGGCACGACCCACCTTCCCCCAGAGCTGGCTAGCCCCGAACATCAGCTTCCCTTTGAGCTTGCCGGCGCTTCCAGGGTCGAGCACACCCGACTCCAAAATGGAATCGATCGATTCGGTGAGCTCTTTCTTGCGGTCCTCTTTGATCTCAAGGAGGAACTCGTCCAAGTTGAACGTCACCCCCAAGATCACCGGGGATTCAGAAAGTTGGAGCTTCTTCTGATCGAACGACGCACCTAGGAAGAAGTGGATCTTTTCTGCAACGAGCTTCGCCGAAGATGCAGTCAGATCCGTCTCGAACCCGTACTTATCGCCATAGAAATTAAAAGCGACCATGTATAGAAGAGCTTGACAAACACGTCGTTCAGGGCCGCCGATCGGCGGTTATAGTTGTAGACTGCCGACACGAGCCCGAACGAGTGGCCGATCATGACGAAGAACTTCGGTCGATCGTCACTGAGGTCCTTCAAACAGATGACACTGAACTTCCGATGCCGAGGGGCGATTGGGAGCTGGTGGTAGGCCTTGCGCTCGTCAAGAACCCAACCGCGTAGCGGACGATCGCCCACTCGAGTCCGGAGCTCGCGAACCACCGAGACATTGAGATCCGTGTTCGGGAGCTGCAACTTCTCGGTGATCACCGCCGTCTTATTGACAAGGTTAGAAGTGGCACTGTCGCACCCTCTGACTTCGAACCGCTGTGTCGGGATCCAGTCCGAGCAACCAAGGAACTCTGTCACTGAACTTTCGTCCTGAAAAGGACCCACGGTCGATCCTTCCATGACGTCCTCCATAGTCGCTTGCCAGAGCGATCGCAGATTGTCAGAAACCGGCACGGCCTGGCACCGTTTGAAGATCTTGGAACGAAACTCCCAGGCCCTCGATTCAGCTTCAGCGATCGTCACTGGCGATTGCTTCTTCTCGTACGGCGGCCAACGACCAGACCTTTGGATCTCGCCAACGATCGGGAACCCTTCGCGAGGAGCTCATCATAGAGCTTGACGTGCGTGCAATGACCGAGCTGGAGATCAGCGTAATCTGGAGCACCTCGAAGGAGACGGCGAAGTGCCGGATCCGGAATAGCTCTAAGCTCACGATCAGTGTCCGGCAACAAGGCCACGGCCCGAGCGTGCCAGTAGTCGAGCTGCTTGACCCTATAGTCGACCAGCCACAGAGGGCGAGCTGCAATCCGGTCAATGTTGGCCATGAGCTCGACCGGCACGTCAGGCTGAACTGTGAAGGGATGCGGGATCGCGAGGGCCCAGCGAATTGCCACACCCGGTTCACACTCGACGTCGAGCAACGGCTTAGCCGCACCACGTTTGAGCTGGTAGCCCGACGAGGCGGCCAAGCGCTGCTTGTTCTTGCCGATGACCTTTCCAATTGACCGCCTGGCCGAGCTTGCGCTTGCGATCGTGCTTAGGCGCCACGAGCTGAAAGGAGGCCTGGAACGAACTGAGGCAGGCATGCGTTCACGACCAGTTCCACCAACTGTGCAAGAGCTGCACAGAGAGCAATCGGGTATTCCTGAGCAGGCTTGGTCGCGAAGACCCAAGACCCATCCGCTTGACGAACCTTGCCTTTGAGCGGAAGGTGCTTATGCTTACCTGAACAGGAACGACGCAAGGAAAGAAAAATCGCATTACTAACCAAGAATCTTGTATAGGCTTGCGGGAGCTCGCACCGAACTCACACTGATCAAGGTCCAGGTTGTAGAGGTGGAACCGCACCTTGAGCTGCTGAAGAGCAGGAACTTGCCACAACAGACTGGTGAGAGGGTTCTCGAGAGAGGCATCACCTCCTGCCACGATCGTCGCCTCGAGCAGGTCGATGGAGCGCTGCATGAGCAGCTCATGAGCAAATTCGCGCGATCAAGCTGATCTTGAAATCTGCTGTCGAGACTGTGCAGACCGAGAGGTTGCGCCAGCGAACGCAGCGGCGGAGGACCTCCAGGCCGAGAGCGGGCTCGACTAAAAGTCGAGCAAGGGAGCCCCACGTGCAGAAATGCAATTGCACCAACACGACAGAGCAGCAGAACTCGCTGAAAGACCTTATTCATCGAGCAGGTCGACAGACTCGTAGACCTCACCGGAAATCTTGACGTCGATCGGGGGGAGCACGAGCAGGCCGGCCGAGCGCCACTGAGAGGTCAGCCGAGCTGTCCCTGCAAAGATCTCAACACCCCACGGGCCGAGATCCCGAACGATGTAAGGATCCTGTGGCACCTGTGACCAAAACTGCCAGGGCGGAGCGAAAAGAACAGAGGTGGCACTCCGCTTTGGAGCCAAAGCATCACTGGCCTCCTGTGTCGATTGAGCCACTGAGCAGTGAGGTGGGGCCGAAGGGACCCCTGACGGCCTGCCATTGTCCACAACACCCAGGGGGGGGAGACCAGGTCCCCCTGGGGCTAGATTGCCCACTCAGTGGTTGCCATGGTAGGGGTGATCACCCCCACACTGAACGCAGATGTGCTTGTTGCGGCAGGTGTCCCCGAAACGGCATCCAAGAGAGCAATTGTACCACACGCATCGGCGAGCGCCCGTGTAGGTGAAGGACATGAGCTTCTTCCATTCCTTCTCGGGGATCCGGGGATCGCGGTCGACCTTGGGCGTGAGCTTCGCGCCGGATGGTTGCTTGGTAGGAGCCCGATCACGATCGCGATCCCGATCCTCCCGCGCCTTCTTGAGGAGAGCTTTAGCTCTTAAGTTCTCGCCTGGCGCGATTCTTGCGCGAGCGCGCCTCTTGCGCCGCCGTAGGAGCCGGTGGCGGAGACGTCGAGCGCGGGCGCTTCGGTGGAACCGCCGGCTCGCGCTCCACCTGTTTGAACTTCTCGAGCTCGGCTGTGCCAAGACCTCTTTGAGAGCTGTCGAGTAGGTCGGGAAGAGCTTCCGCTTATCGTTAGACAGCTTGTAGACCTTCTTGCGGATCAAGGCATCGGCCGAAAGCAAGAGAGCCAGTCCGTGGTTCTCATGTCGCCATTCTTCGAGCTCAGCCAAGTATTTGAGCGGCCCAGCATCCACGGTGAACTCGCAGATGTTCAGGTACTCGAGCGCAATGAAGAAGGAGTGAAGCCGATCGATAACGTTGCTTTCAGAAGTGACCGCGACCTTGTTGTCTTGTTGGATGACCTTGAGCAGGTCATCGGAGGTCTTCGAAAAACCAGTTGACTGCACGAGCTGGTCGGAGCGGGTGCGCATCTCTGCGACCTCGTAGAAGGCGACCGCCCCGTGGACCATGTAGTCGCGATGGATGCGCTCGATGAACTTTCGGTGCGGCTCGCGCATGTAAGTGAGGATGACATCGGGATGCTGGTTCACGAAGATCTCGCGGAACTCAGCATGGTCCTCCCCTGGGATCTCAGGGATCTTCGATGGATCTTCCTCCATTTGGCACGGCGAGCTGCCACGTGTTCTTGGAGCGTGGAGGCTGACTTCCAGACCGCCGCCGGCAAGGTCAGAGAGAGCTCCTGGTCGGGGGGATCAGCGCCGAACTGCGTGTCATCCCCCACGATCGCCTTAAGGGTCGCCTTGACCGAGGTGATCGTGTCGCCGAGCATGGCCATACGCTCAATAGAGAGCATCCCCTTGTCGGCCATGAGAAGGCATGACGGCTCCGGGAGCTTCTGCCGACCGAAGATCTGGCGCAGCGCGAGCTCTGGGACCTTGTTCTTGTCTGGGTAGACAGTGCGATCCACCATGTTCTTGATCTAAGAAGGGAGCCAAAAGAAGAGCTGGCCGCGGCCCTCAGCACAGTCGAACAAACTGACAGAGCAACTGAGGCAGCAATCTGGAATGAGAGTTCCTTTTAATACTTACGCGAAAGCAAAACGTCCGGCCGAGCTTTAGCACAGAGCTTGCACAGCATCTTCGGATCCGGAAGAACAGATCCGATGATGTGCACAAACTCCGGGGTGATCGCGCGTTTACAAGCGATCTCTTCCACAGACTCAGCAGAACAAACATGGAATCTGTACTCATAGCTCGAGCCTTTTTCGGGGGCCTTGATAAAGAACTCCGTCAAGGTAGCCTCGCGATCGTCAGAGTCGTCGATGACGTCGTCCGCCAGAGCACACTGTGGGGTGAAGTCTTTGGAGACCTCGGCGACCAGGTCCTTGATCATAAGGGCCGGCAGTGACGACCTCGAGCGAGTGTACTTGAGGACGAGCGGGCCAGGGTTCTTCCAATTCGCCTGGACCCCGATCTCCTGCTCCGTACGTTTGCAGTGGACAGCTTGATCCAGCATGGTCACACGAGCAGAGTGCCAGGTGAGCTTTGTGACCACGTCGAGGACCTCCTTGGCTACCCCGGCTTCCCGCCCTGCGTGCCAGACCAGATGGTGGAGCCACTGCAGCGAACGTGCGTAATCAGGCGGTGTCTCCCGCCACTTCTCCTTTGTCTCCAGATCTGGTATCCAGAAATCTCTCTCCACCAGAGGGAACTCCAGCTCGAAGAGCTCCAAGCCGACCTTGAACCATGTCGCTCGAGAGAAAGCCACGTCGGGCACCACGAACTTGGTTCCTCGACGCTTGCGCTCTGACTTTGTTTGCCAGGAGACCCCAAAGAGACCGTCTTGCTTGACCTCGAGCTCATGAGGCTTCTCGTGAATGGCATCATCGAACCTTAGTGATGCGAAGATCATGCAAAGAACCCACCAGATAAAGACCCGAGCGGGTCTAGGGTGGTCATCGCGTGCGACGAACCCCTCCATGGCAGCGACCAGCGCAACGGGGAACGGGTCCGCCTCTTTCAAAGGTTTGCCTCTCTGGGTGAAGATCTCCTTCTCGAGCGCCTCAATCTCGGCCGACTCGATTGAGGGGAGAGCAATATTCGTCCTGAAGGAGACCCAACGCAACGCCATCCGAAGGGATGGCAGCACCGTTGGTCCACACTCCATGCCATCGAGCTCTATGGCATACTTAAGGACCAGATCATTTGTGATGGGATAGAACTGCGCTCCCGACCGATGGGCCCACGATTCGAACTTCTCGAATCGGCGGATGTGGTTCGACATCGTTGAGGGAGCCCCTGAAGTGAAGACCAGCAACTGGAGGCGAGCTTTCTCCTCAGGCGAGAGCAGTCCTTGATCTGGGGCTTTCGGCTTTGCATGATCACCTGCCCGATCCGCAATGGCCCTGAGCCTCTTAGCCCATTTCTGCTTCTCGGCATTCTCCTGATCGAGGAGCGGCGTGCTAGAGCTGCTCGCCGGCTTTTTCGCCGCCAACGAAGGGCGAACGCCTGGCGCCAAGACCGGAGCCGCTAAAGCCCGAATCGCCATGTCCCGCTGGAACTCGGCAATCGAGCGCGAGCTGCGCTGACGCGGGACCTTCTCGCAACGGGAGAACCCCAGCTGATAGCCGAGCGACTCTTCAAAGAGCGTCTCCGCGGCCTTTGCGAAGATATAGAACTGCTCGAGCATCTGGGGCCTCGCTGCGAACACCTCGTGAGCCTCTGGAGCCAGCTTCGAGGTCCACTCGTACGCCTTCTGGGCGAACATGCCAGGGGTCTCGACCTCCATTGCGAGCACTACCTGCAGAGAGGCAAGCTGTGTACCCAGCAGAGCAGACACGAACGCTGCATCGAAACAAGGGTATGCGAGAACTTTCGCCGTCCATCTGTCTTGGGATGCTGTGACCTGCAGCATCCTCTTGGGAGCTATCTTGAGAGCGAGCTGCTATCGGCAGGAAGAACCGCCAACTGCGAGCTTGCATCACGAGCATCCCAGGAACGACGAACGAACGAGAGAAGGAGAGAGAGCGACCCCCCGAGTCCCCCCCCCCCCCCGGAGTGCATGACAATTGCTTGTGATATACAGA